AGTACAAAATTTGTTACTAGTACATTTATTTTTAGTTGAATAATCAGAATTTAATTACGCTACTTTATAAAAGATATAAATAAAATAATATTTTTTTTTGGTGTTTTGTGAACAGTGTCACACCAAATATGGTGTGACACTGTTCACAAAACACCAAAAAAAAAATTTGGTGTAAAATTTGCAGTTCCATTGGAGATGAAACTACACCAAATTTGGTGTTATGGAGTTCCGTTGGAGTTGCTCTAAGAGAAGTTAGTAAAAGACAATATATGGGTAAAGATTTGTTAACACATGATAGTATGGCATATATAAAATACTAGGGATTGTCCACGCGTTGCGTGGGGTTTGATAATTAATACTATAGTAAATAATTACCTACGTTAGAAATCTAAGCATTTGTAGCAAATTATTGGACACATATAATGTTATATGCAAAAACAAATTGACCGTTACAACATATGAAAAACATCTTCTTTGACACAAATCCTTAACTCGTATGTCTTTATCAATATTCACTACGATTTTCTAAAAAAAATGATTGCTCGTCTTTTTTTGCATCAAATACATTTGTAAATATCTATTCATCAGACAAGTTATATTATGTTTTTTGCTTCTAAAGATACATTTGCATCATCTCAACAGAGGTGTTGGAATGTATCTTTATGTTTATTTCATTTATTCATTGAATCATAAGGAAAAAATAATTGATATTTGATTGTATTTGTGCCTCATTTTATTTGTAATTTGCTGTGATTTTTATCTTTCATATCGATTCATTGGTGAAGTGAATCTATTTTTCTGGATTTATAATTTGTGGAAGAATAAGGTTTTCTTTCGAGAGTCGTGCTTAGGAGCGTTATTTTGTTCAACACAAATTATTTTCATTGCATTAGGGGGTGATTGGCAAATTGGCTTTGAAAACTATAAAAGAATTTTTAAAAACATCGAAAATCTAAATTTCTCAAATCATACTTTAATGTTTTAACAACTTTAAAAATTCTAAAATCATTTTTTAAATCTCACATCATCTTTCGTTTTTGTTCATATTATGCTTCTTTTTATTAAAACTTATCTTTTATGATTTTTTGGTTTTAAAATCATAGTTACCTATTTTAAACATTTTTGTATTGTATATTGCTGAATTGATAAATAAAATTTATATTTTCTATAAATAAAATAATTATGTACATTAATATACACAAGACAATTAATTTTAATTTGTTGGAATTAATTTACATAAAAATTAGTTATTAAATTGTTAGAATTAATTGCTAAAGCTATTAAAAGACATTTAATTTTTTTTTTCTCTTCAATAAACAAATTAAAAAGCCAAATGTCAAAAAATTAGATGACACATGACAGCCTCTCATGACTTGAATTTTGAGAAACCTTACAATATTACATTATAACATTAGAATAAATTGTTGAAATCAATTGTCAAAACTAATAAAACAGG